CCAAAGAGCAGCCAGGGTGGGCAGCGGCAGTATCTTCTAGAAGCCTCCCACAGGAGCTCCCACGACTTTTTGTTGTTCGTCAAACGATCTGCAATTCTGATTGATGTGCACCATTTTATCATATTTCGTTACGTTTACATTAATTGTACGGAGGCGTTGTTCGTTTACGTAATTCCGTGAAAGATTTGCATAAATTTGTGCATTTAAATTGGCATCTGCTTCAGGTACATTGTACATTTTACGAAATGCAATCCAGCATCCAACTCGCCTTCCTTTGTGCTCTCCTCGCCGTTGTTGGTGAGTCATGTTCATGTGATCTAACCTAATGAGTAAGTAAGAGTTAGAACTATAGAAAAGCCTTGATCCACAACGAGCATTCAGTCTTCTTCGCTGCGGATGCTGGGTCGTGTCAGTGGGCTAGGTTTGGCACGACGCAGCACTTTTTCCACCTATCACTGTCGCATTCCCCTCTTCAACAAACGCTGGAGAACGGGTTTGGTGCTGCGCCGAGCCCAGCTCTACTGACAGCCTCAGCATCCGCAGCGAAGAACACTCTAGACAAGGAGGATATATTTTGAGGGATATATCTTTATCAGGAAATCAAAAAATACAAAATGTGGGTTGACAGCGATTTCACTCCATATCCCAGATAGGCGGAGGTGGTGTAGTGACAAGTGGCGCGCTTACCACTCGCGCGGCCCGGGTTCGAATCCCGGGTCGACCCCCGCCAACCAAGCCTTCTACCCTCCGGGGACGGTAAATTGGTACCAGATTCGTCTGGGAGGATAAAACACTGACTTGTACATCGGCTGGCCGCAAGTCATTGTATAGGCCACATCGCATTCAATAAGCCACTACGATTCTGAATGGAAGTATAGTGTAGTTCGCTGCGGACGGTTGGGCGTGTCAGTGCGGCTGCGTTTGGCGCGGTGCCAAACTCGTTCTCCACCAGTTGTTGAAGCGGGCAAGTGACAATACTGTATCATATCCATTCGTATTACTCGGTTTCTACCTCTTTTTGTCGCACGCAATTGTCAACAAGAAGGCAGAGAATGGCTTTGACGGGGTGGCACACTTATACTGGCTGACACGCCCAACGAGCTCCGCACGGAATTGGAGTGAGAACTGCGTGCCAGGCATCCACCAATAGGGATTGATCAACGAGAGGATGTTCCGTCCTATCCTTCATCCCAGAGCTGAGAGGGCGTGGATGCGTACTGAACTGGGTTGTGACGTTGCATGTGTTTTTATGGGATACAGTGCGTAACAAACGAATGTGGACACCTCGAATTTTCGTTCTGCGAAATTGCCTTCAGATTTTGCGATATGAGACTCCTACTGGTTGAGTTCTTCATAGGCGTAAACATATGGCATTCACCTCACCTTCTGAGCACTTTGTGAACTACTGCATTTATTTATTGTTATGAAAAAGTTTCTTAATAACAAAAGTATGTGGACACTTAACAAAAAAGAAACTTTCGACGTAGAAACTACTGCGCTCGCAGAGTTGGTACTTCTTCCTCACGCTTTCACTATTATCTCAAACATTCTGCTGTGGCTGTGGACCAATATATTTTGTATGCATCTTGTCGCATCCCTGCCCATGCAGCAATCTATACCGCCTCACGCTGGCCAACCATCAATTATTCAATACAATTGGCTGTTGGAGCGACTTTTCTCAGTAGACAATCCGAAAAGTGCACGCGCGGCGCTTGTTCTGGTGGCATCACCCATGTGACTTGCGTCTGTGGCCCACTTCCCCCCCAGAAAAGGCAAGAGGTTATAGCTCAGACAACACTCCTCTGGGTATTCCTGACTGGCTGGAAGGCAGCTCCCATTTTCGCGCTTGGCTTCTCAAAACCACTCCAATCACATCGAGGCCGCGTCCGAATTCGCCGATTCGAGACCAACACACACGGATCGCGTGCGAAGGTCTCCTGCCCAGCATGTACAACATCATCTGGGCGTCGCCATCCGAACTTTTTTTTCTCCATCGTCGTGAACCCAAGAAAGAAATGCGTCATAAGATGTTGTCTTTCTGATCTTTACAAATTTTCCCAAAAAACTGCATATGTCCCGCATGACGTTCGCACTTTTTGCAGCTCGCCAACTTCAGTCTCCGCCCAGCTAGTGTTGGGGCCAGTCAGAGCGAAGAGCGTTTCTTCATGGTTCCTCGAAGTGGATGTGGGCGCATAACATTATAATACTACATATAACTAACACAATTGGCACATCGTTGTTGGGGAATCCCCAATAAGGGGGGGGTCGTATTTGGTCGCCAGGAGGGGGGGGGGTCGTATTTGGGCTGAGAAAAATTTATTTTGATAGTTGATTTTTCTCGCTTCATGGACGTTGTAAAGGGAGGGGGGGTCGTATTTGATCATTTTTGGGAGGGGAGTCGCACCACGCTTTTGCGCGTTGTGTGGAACGGTGCGGTTTGAAGATTTTGGTGATTTTCCTGCTTGTCAACGTACTATCATGCCCCCCCCGCCCTCCGAGAAGCAAAGTTTCTTGGTAAAAAGTAGGAAGTTTTCGGTGTAAACTTCTTGGTGAAAAAGGGGTACGGAAGTTTCGGGGAAACCTGATTGTAAGAGAGACGGGGTCGAATTGATACTCACGGTTTTTCCCCTCTGTTTACAGTGCTCACTTTACCCCCTTCCCCCCCCCATCCCCAGCTAGCGACGGGCCTCCGGTTCGATCGAAGGTAAGAACAGAGGGCTGGGTGGGGAGATCGTACGCACTCCAAAGAAAAAGGGGGGGGTGTCGTAATTGAAGTCGACTAAAATCCCCAAACAATGAATGTGCCCTGCTGATGGTGCTCACATGATCGACATAGAGCGCCCTAGGTCGATCACTTTAGAGACGCGTGGGTAGATTCATCGCAGCATCGCAGCATAGATCGTGCCACAAAGAGGGGGAAGTTAGAAGCAGTACGCGCTATTCTTCTGATGTCTTTTGCGGACAAAGATCGTGGGCGCCCCGAAAAAGGTGCTGAATGGTAACCATCAGAATTCTGGAGGTATTCACCAACGCACGAACGTCCGAGCTGTCTTGCAATTTCTCTATTCGAGTGTCCAGCAGCACTGAGAGCTCGAATCTGAGATTGTTCGTCTTCGGAGAGAGTACTGCCACGACGAGGCATGAGTACAGGTTAATGGGGAGTAGAGACGATAAAAATGGATTGCAGATTTGGAGCCAAACTTTGGACTTTCTCAGGTGTCCACATACTTTTGGTACAAACAAGGAAATTCTATTCAAAAATATGTTATGAAGTGAAGCTTAGTTATCGCTCGAGTACTCAATTATAGGGTTATCGGCTACGAGGAATCGAGGAAGGATCCAGATCAAGAAATTTATTTGGTTACATTTGAAAACTAGATTTTGAGGTGTCCACATACTTTTGTTACGCACTGTATTTCTTTCTATGACAAATGTCAACCTATCTTGTGCTCGACAAAGACATCTTTAGAGTTGTCCTCAAACGGACGTAAGGTCCCTATTAAGGAAATACCGAGAAAACTCAATGGCCAGAAGAGCTCTGTTGTGGCTCCCAGCTACCAAATATGACCCTTTCTAACGGGATCCTCCCAACGATGCTATACCTGTTCTTCTTTCGACTTTGACTAACGCCCGGTCATCACGCACTTGCTGATAGAAAACAATTTTCGGCTCGAACGACAACCCTAGGAGGATTTCTGACAAAGTACAAAAAAACGATGACATCATCTGCCACTCCCAAAAATAGACCGACAGACCATGAGAAACTCATATTGTCCCGCCGCCTTGACAGGGGAGTTGAAGGACAAAAGGATAAAGTCTTCGCCGTTGATCAATCCTTTTGTGGGATGCGGCATATTCTACTTCCATTCAGAATCGTAGTGGCTTATTGAATGCGATGTGGCCTATACAATGAATGACTTGCGGGAGCCATCCGATCTACAAGCGGTTCTTGTCCTCCGAGAACAGTCTGGTACCCATTTACCGTCCCCGGAGTGTACAAGGCTTGGTTGCCCGGGAAGGAGTCGACCCGGGATTTGGACCCAGGATCGCGCGAGTCTGTCACTCACTTGTCACTACTCAACCTCCGTCATAACAGGGGAGTCAGCAGAGTAAAATCGCTTCGGACTTGATGATCTCTTGAAAAGTGTTCAAAATATGTAGTGTAAGTCATAATGATGTTTAAAGATAAATTGTGCCCACACATCCGAAGACAGTCCTTACAAGGTGTTTACCAACTGAACAAGTGTAACACTTTTGCCACTCGAGGGCGTAGTTTTGTGCATTGTTGGCAATGCACGCGTCCAGAAATTCAAAACACTTAAGCGGAGTCGCAGTAGAAACGGCGCCGCTCCTTATGTTTTGAACATTATCGAATCGTTATATAGAGGGGGACATTTTGCATTTCCGCTAGTTTCTTTTACTAGTTCCTATTGAATCCTACTATATATAATCCGCTAATTTTGTCTGTTGGTGTGGTGTGTGTGAATGTATGTTTGTGTGTCTGTATGTGTGTTTGACCGGAAATTCATAACTTCCTTCAAAAGAGCGATAGAGCCCTCAAACTGATAAGTGATGTAGGGGGTCGTGCACGAACATTATTGGTCGGTGGCAGGGAGTGATAACAGTTGATAAGATACCATAAGGAGCCTTAGAAGGTAAGGGTCACCAAATTCACAACGCGCGTCACAGCAGCGGTAGAGCGTTGGTTCCAAGAAGTAAGATAGAGGGCAGGATGGGGACATTTTTGGTGGGTGGCAGGAAGTGATAACAGCCGATAAGATACCATAAGGAGCCTTAGAAGGTAAGGGTCACCAAATTCACAACGCGCGTCACAGCAGCGGTAGAGCGTTGGTTCCAAGAAGTAAGATAGAGGGCAGGATGGGGACATTTTGGTGGGTGGCAGGAAGTGATAACAGCTGATAAGATACCATAAGGAGCCTTAAGAAGGTTTAAGGGCACCAAGATCACAGTCAGCAGCGGTGGCGTCCAGGCGGGTAAGAGGCGTTCCAAGAAGGTAAGCATAGTGGGCAGGATGGGGACCTTTTGTGGGTGGTAGGAAGTGAATAACCAGATAAGTACCATAAAGAGCCTAGAAATGGGAATTTCCACCAACATCAATAACGCACGTACACGCAGCGGTAGAACCTTATGGTTAGACGTTGTTCAAGAAGTAAGATAGTGAGCGCGCGCGCAGGGATGGGCGACATTTTTGGTGGGTGGTAGGAAGTGATAACAGCCGATAAGATACCATAAAGAGCCTTAGAAAGGGAAGTTCACCAACATCATAACGCACGTCACAGCAGCGGTAGAACCTTATGGTAGGACGTTGGTTCTAAGAAGTAAGATAGTGGGCAGGATGGGGACATTTTTGGTGGGTGGCAGAAAGTGATAACAGCCGATAAGATACCATAAGGAGCCTTAGAAGGTAAGGGCACCAAATTCACAGCGCGTCCACAGCAGCGGTAGAGCGTTGGTTCCAAGAAGTGAGATAGTGGGCAGGATGGGGACATTTTTGGTGGGTGGCAGGAAGTGATAACAGCCGATAAGATACCATAAAGAGCCTTAGAAAGGGAAGTTCAGCAACATCATAACGCGCGTCACAGCAGCGGTAGAACTTATGGTAGGACGCTGGGGTTCCAAGAAGTGAGATAGTGGGCAGGATGGGGACATTTTTGGTGGGTGGCAGGAAGTGATAACAGCCGATAAGATACCATAAAGAGCCTTAGAAAGGGAAGTTCACAGCAACATCATAACGCGCGTCACAGCAGCGGTAGAACGTAATGTAGACGTTGGTTCCAAGAAGTAAGATAGTGGGCAGGATGGGGACATTTTTGGTGGGTGGCAGAAAGTGATAACAGCCGATAAGATACCATAAGGAGCCTTAGAAGGTAGGGCACAAAGTGGTCAGCTGAGCGCGTCAACAGCAGCGGTAGAGGCGTTGGTTCAAGAAGTTACGATAGTGGTAATGGGACATTTGGGAGGGCGACATGGATGATGCTCCGGGACTCTCGCGTGGGTGGCAAGAAGTGAGTAAGAAGTCGATAAGATACCGTAAAGAGCTTGGAAAGGGATGGTCACTAACACCATAGTGCGCGTCACAGCGACGGTAGAACGTTGTTTTCAAGAAGTAATATATGGGGCAGGATACACATTATTGGTGGGTAGCAGGACCTGATAACAGCCGATAAAGTACCATAGGGGGCCCGCTTCATTAAGGCCTCGAAATTCAAATGCAAGAGTCGGAGCAACAACGGGGAACTGCATCTTTACTATGCCTGCGACTGAACTTGACCACCGTTGCCCAAGAATTAATGGGCAAAACCTTAGTGAGCCGAGATGTTCCTATCCCTTGAGATGTAGTCGGAATTGATCCGACCGCTAAACTTCTCGAGTATCACCCAGAAGTAAAAGCCTAAGATTGTTTGCCAGTGAGGAATGATAAGAGAGTCGCCAATAGACCGATATGTGAAAGCTGCTCACAGGCAAGAACTTAGGATGCTAGCGAAACTTCACTATGATTTCGATATTGTTACCATTGAAACTCTTTCAACCGCTAAGTTGCCTCATTTCCAACGAATGGTGAGTGTTGTGATAAGCACCATACGTTGGCAAATGTTCATTAAAGAGGAGAATTATGATGAAATGGGCCGTGTTTTGAAGCATGGGAAAAAGGCGGAAGTTTTTAGGGGCCATCACAAAAATTCTACCATTGTTCAGGTACCATAGGTTTAACAATTCGCGCACTAATACATAAAAAATTCATGAATCATTTTGTTTTCAGTTCACTCCTCCTCATCATCAAAAGCACCGCCAGCGTGCACTGTTGAAGAGCACTCACAAACACCTTGCATATGTTGCAAAAAGGATTGCTGGTACACAATCGCGGCGGTATGTTCACATTCTCGCTTCTAGGGTTGCTTGAAGTTTGAGGGCACATTCTACGATATCAGTGTGTGGGATTTGAAAGAGGAGGATAAGTTCTAAGTCTCCAGCGGGGATGAATCAAAAGGAAGCGAGGTGCAGTTAGACGACGGAGGTGGGGGGTGGGGGCGTTTTGCACTTTTGCCGCTTCCCATCGACGTGTCTAGTCATCTACAGAGCTATTTCATGTACATAGTTACAGGAGTCACAGGTTCTACTATGGTGGCTCACGAGCTTGCTTCGGCTTCACAGAAGTCAGGTTTCACCACACATACGGACCGGAACTAGTGGACCAGCAAAAGTGTGATTCCCCCCTCCGTCGCCGAACTGCCCCAAGCCGAGTATTTATTTGTCTGTTATGTCGAACTGTACACCCGCTTCTGTCACTTGTCGGTCCTCCTGGACCTTATGGTTTCTGGGAAGGATTCGATACTTTGGGTAAACACACTATCAATACTATATGATGAATAAAACTCGCGTTTTTAGGCAGCTACGCACGAACTTGGCCATATGCCTGGCGAGGCTGGAGAGCGTGAAGCTATGGCAGCTTTGCGTTTGATTCGCGCCTGTATGATCAGCGAATGTTCCGGCCTCTGTATGCCTCGTATGCCGTTTCTGTAGTAACGTACAATCAACGACTCAAACTCAGTCCCTCTCAATCTGTCTCCCCCAACAAGTCTAGGCTCTGAGAGTGTTGTGATCATATTGATGTTGAGGGTTTTTTCTCGATTAAGTCAAATCCCGTCAACTTCCTTGTCATAGCAAGGCTCTCGTATTTCTGTATTTTGGGTAATAAGATGATCTCTTGCATGATGAAAGATCAATTACTTGTAACTTGCTGATTGCATTCAGATATTTGTGAATAAACAAATGGCGTTTGTATTCCTGTGGCAATACTGAGATGCGTACAACCAGAAAACGAACAAGAAGAGGGTACTACAGGGGGGGGAAAGTCACTTCGACCGAGTCACATATCAGCAAAGTTTTCGCAGCCCAGAGAGAAGACGTGGACGAGTACCAGGGCGGAAGATACCCAAGATGTTCCTCGGCAGGAGCTGGCCCTCGCCCATCACCTTCATGTACACCAAAATATGAGGTCATCTCCAGTCGCAGCCTGACTGGAGAAGACCTTTGGAATTCATGTCACCTCCAAACAGCTGCGAAACTTCTAGTATGGAGTCACCCATGGGTAGCCTGGAGACCAGTACTCTCGATCTGGAAGACCTCCAACATCGAGCAGCTCCGACAACGTCGCCACGGTCTAGGACATCATCTTCACGGCAGTCGCCAAGGCGCGGGTTGATGGTATGGACCGGACGCACCTGGAATGGAAAGACCAATATTTTCTTCGTGGACCCCGGGCTGAAGCTGAGCGCTGGCGGTTACATCGACCAACTCAAGAAGAATATCTTCCCCACATGTC